ATATATATATATATATATATATATATATATATATATATATATATATATATATATATATATATATATATATATAGATATAGATAGATAGATATAGATAGATAGATAGATAGATATAGATATATGTATATATTTATATATATATATATATATATATATATATATATATATATATATATATATATATATATATATATATATATATATATATATATATATATTGAGAATTGTGAATTAATTGATGGTTAAATTGCTTGAAAGCGGAAAATACTGCTAAATTAATGATAATGATAATGTTGTAGATATTTTCAGTAAAACATAGTTGAACACAGACCAAGGATTCCGCTCGGTCGGATGATAGAGCATAGGACAGCTAACCCGAAAGTCTCGAACTCGTATCCCATGAGTCTATCTTAGTGCCTGACATTGGGGGCCCAGGTCACTATTTTCATATACCGGGGTTAGATGAACTCTACTTCATATGCCCAAAGTGTTTGGAACGAGAACAGAAAAAGATGACAAACCCGACTACGCCGATCCTCGTGATTTACACGACCTAAACAATTGTCCTTTAACTATTTGCTATGAGTTTTTTTTTTTTTTTTTCATTTCTCAGGATATCATTGTTGTCTTATGTTCTTTAAGAAAACCCCATCTCCATTTTAGTCTTTGGGGACGTCTACTTCGCCCACCAACCTTTGCGGGTTCCACTCAGATTTATGAAAGGATAGTATGTTTAGCACAACGCCCTTACATTCCCTAACCCGAGTCATGTTTCCGTAAGAGATTGAACGTATACTAATGTACGTCCTAACGTTTTAAGCCCGCGACCTCAACTCGAGACTTTTGGTTAGCATTCCAATGTTCTATCTTTCAATCATTTTGTTTATAATATTTACAGAACAATGTGCGATTATTTAGCAATACATACTTGCAGCCAAAATCCGTGACTGACTTCTGTATTTCCACCAAATATCGGTTACACTCTTGCAATTTTATCTCGCATTTTGAGAGTTTCTTCGTAGTGGTTGGATTATGTTTTGCTTGTTCAGTAAAAGCTGATACAAAAAGACATTTCTGATGCAGTGGAATCAATTACTTGACATTGCTCGTAGACTTAAGTAACCATACCATACAGCTATTCATTATTGTAAATATTTCCATTGCTCCGTTCATCCACCTATCTTCTCTTCAACCCACTTTTCTTTTCACACACACACACACACGCACACACACACATGCACACATACACTCACACACACGCACACGCACATTTGCACACGCACGCACACACACACACACACACACACACACATATATATATATATATATATATATATATATATATATACATAATATATATATATATATATATATATATATATATATATATATATATATATATGTGTGTGTGTGTGTGTGTGCGTGTGTGTATTCAGTCCATGGGGAAGATGGAGTAGAGTTCGCCTATTTTAGTGAATGTTGTGAATGGACTTGAGTGCATGGAATGAGTTTGAGAGTATATGTGTAGTTGAACGGTGTTAATAAAGTTGTCGATGGTTTGAGAGTATGTGTGTAGTTGAATGGGGTTAATAAAGTTGTCGATGGTTTGAGAGTATGTGTGTGGTTGAATGGGGTTAATAAAGTTGTCGATGGTTTGAGAGTATGTGTGTAGTTGAATGGGGTTAATAAAGTTGTCGATGGTTTGAGAGTATGTGTGTGGTTGAATTGGGTTAATAGAGTTGTCGATGGTTTGAGAGTATGTGAGTGGTTGCACGGGGTTAATAAAGTTGTCGATGGTTTGAGAGTATGTGTGTAGTTGAATGGGGTTAATAAAGTTGTCGATCGTTTGAGAGTATGTGTGTGGTTGAATTGGGTTAATAGAGTTGTCGATGGTTTGACAGTATGTGTGTAGTTGAATTGGGTTAATAAAGTTGTCGATGGTTTGAGAGTATGTGTGTGGTTGAATGGGGTTAATAAAGTTGTCGATGGTTTGAGAGTATGTGTGTGGTTGAATGGGGTTAATAAAGTTGTCGATGGTTTGAGAGTATGTGTGTAGTTGAATGGGGTTAATAAAGTTGTCGATGGTTTGAGAGTATGTGTGTAGTTGAATGGGGTTAATAAAGTTGTCGATGGTTTGAGAGTATGTGTGTGGTTGAATAAGGTTAATAAAGTTGTCGATGGTTTGAGAGTAGGTGAGTAGTGGTATTAATAAAAGATTATGAATGAGTAAAACAATTTCATAAATAACGTTTTAATAACAAGCTTTTATGTAATAATGCACTAAAAAGTATAAAATAAATTATAGAATACTATTTAAATAACTATAAAGAAAAGCGTGGGTGTCTTCCTTAACATTAGTAAAGGTATCCAATAGATACTAAAGTGACCCACGCTTTTCTTTATAGTTATTTAAATAGTAGTCTATAATTTATTTTCTACTTTTAGGTGCATTATTACATAAAAGCTTGTTATTAAAACGTTTTTTTATGAAATTTTTTTTCAGTACTTTACATGTTTTATTTACAATAGAGTTACATGACTGAAACCATTGCGCGCCTACTGAACGTGATGGCGCGCCTACTGAATGTGATGGCGCAGCTTTTGAACGTGATGACGAGTGTGGTGTGGTTGGATAGACATGCCTATTGATTCGGTCCAAATTTTAATTAATTCATAAAAAATTAATTAGGCATCAAATTAAGTCAAATTTAATTTCAGATTGCATTGTCTTCATGTCTTGACCCACGTGCCAAATGTGAATCGTATCGGTCAAGTAGAAATGTCCGAATTTTCACTCCAGCATTTCGATCTAGACAGACAGACTGACGACTGACGACAGAGGAAGCGAGTTAAATAAAAGCTTGTAAAAAAAAAGGAAATAAAGATGTGACGTAGTAGAGAATGTTTTGGTTGTTAGGAAGATAGTTGAGAGCCAGTATTAGTCTTGTTGTCGTCATGTAAGGATGTCTAGAAGTCGTCTGTCGTCAATGTAGCTGTATGTATTGATGTAATAAAATATGGGAATATCGTATCGTCGTTCTGTATCCTCTATTAGATCGTCGTCCTATATTGTTCAACATTCAGCGTCGACCCTGTACAAGAGCCCACATTACAACAAGCATATACATTGAGAGTATGGTTATCAACACCATGCCCAGCCGCATGTACTTTCACGTAGTATGTTTATTGTATATATCCTGGTTGGAGTCAAGGGCGGTAGAATGAATTCAGACCATTAGGAAAAAAAAAACAATTGGTAGGAATTTATATATATAAAGCAAAGTGGTCAAGTGCCCGATAGGGCACTTCCCGACGCCGCAGGCGCGTCAAATTTGGCAGGATGATGCCTTGGGGGACGGAACACGAGAGCCGGTGACGGTTGGCCGAAAAGTCCACGTAGAGGGGTCAAAACTGACCGCGCCTTATATGGGATCTATTACGAAAAAAACTTTCTTCCGACGAAACCCCCCCCCCCCCCATGAAATTCTGTGAGGTGGTAGGAGAACGCCTTGTGGTGTCACAAAAACTCACCATGTCCGGGAAAAATTGGGAAATGGGTCAAAACTGACCAGTCGTGATTTCCTATATAAAGTAAAGTTTCCCTTTCAAACCTGACGGTCTATGGGGCAAGTGAAGTAGAGTTCACTTTTTTCTGTGACCTCGGCATATGAAGAGATAGTGTGGTCAGCACTATGCTCAGCCGCCTTTTCTTTCCTAACGTGAGTTAGGTACCCATCAGAGTTGGGTGGACTCTGGGACGGTCTACTGACTTGCATCCGGATTCGAACTCGAGACTTACGGGTTAGACTTCTAACACTCTACCGCTAGACCACTCCGTCCCATGATTCCCTACATAATCTATGTATTTTATGGGAAAAAACAGAGGGTAATTTCAACGAAAATTTTAGGGTATTTACCCTCTGTATATCTGGCTAATTTTTGGCATGCTTATAGGTAAATGGCTTGGCCTTTAGGAAAAATTTTCCGTTTGACTCAGAGCCCTCGACGACGGCTAAAACGTGACCGTGAGTGAAAATCTCCTTATTTAAGCTATATAACGAAAAAAATTCTTGCAGAACGACCCCACTTGATATTTTGTGAGGTGGTAGGAGAACAACTAGGGGTGTCAGAAAAAACTCGGCATGTCCGGGAAAAATCTGGAAATGGGTCAAAACTGACCAGTTGTGTTTCCCTATATAATCTTTTTATTTTATGGGAAAAACAGGGTAATTTCAACATAGATTTTTGGATACTCAACCTCTATTTATCTGGCCATTTCTTTGCATGCACCTCTATAGATGACTAGGCCGTACGGAAATACTGTTGGTCAGACTCAAAGTACTCGACGAGGGCTAAAAAGTGATATCTATAAATAAATTGACGAACGATCTCCCTAATATTTTGTGAGGTCGTAGACCGACCCCGGAGCATAACAAAAACCATTATTGCCGTCGAAAAAAAAAACCCTTAGGGTCGTTATATTTGTCCAGATGATGTATTTTTTTTTATAATTAATTGTTTGTAAAAAAAGCAAACATAGACATACTTCATGCGTTCAATTTTCAAGGGAGGTAACTTTTTTAAATAATTATTTTTCAAACAATTGTATACTATTTTAAACATAAACATAAAATGACGAAGTATAGCATTTGTTTTTGTAAAAAATTAAGTTGTTATTTATGGTACGTCTCCTAATTCAATAAGTTAATAATTTTAAAAGTAAATGTAATATAAATTATGAGATATACTGTTCATGGAACCTCTGTAGTTCTAATTCCACTTTAGTCATAGATTTCGAACTTTCCTATAATTTCTCTGAAAATGGACTTTAAACAACAAAGAACAACAACAAAATTGTCTTTAAAATTAGCATTACTGTTTAAATTTAAGCACTCCACACCTCAGCTGTTACTAAATAATTAAATATTCTAATCCTCAAATGTTTTTGAAAACCTAAGCGAAGCTAGGCAGTATGCCTAGTAATTAAATAAATCTTGTTGGGAGTTGTTACGAATAAACAAAAAAATATGTAGTTACCTGCTAAACTGATGAAAAACAGAGCAGAAACTATCTTGAACATCATCCTTCGTTTGGTATTTGCTGTCGACAATATTCGATTTAGTATCGGCAATTTCTGGGGTGTCGGCTGTATTTCAGTTGGCGTTCTGAGCTAAATGTGGCTTTGCTTCAGGTGTGGGAACAAAAATCTAGACTGAGTTTATTTATGACGTTACCGTAAAGCTACGTGGCGAGTCATCGACGACTTTGTGGGCACGCGCCTTAAGGGCGGGGCTTGTTGAGTGGTTCTCAAACTGGGCCAAATCTATACCTCCAGTATATTAGTATTCTACATTAAAAATTAAACAAAAACTTACATTTTGAAATATATTTAAAAATTACTATCAATTTCAATTATTTTTGTTTCAATATTGTTTTTTATTTCTTTAAAATGAATTTGTGTTTATGTGTGTCCAAGACCCAAGAGGCGTAGCGAGGGGGGCGCGGGGGCGGACCGCATCGGGTGACACCATTTAGGGGGGTGACACCAAGGCAAAAAATAGCAAAATATATAGAGAAAAAGGATAATTCCACTTTATTAAGTGATTAATTCGAGTTTTAAATAGTGTTTTAAGAGGTGAAAATTGAATGTTTGGGGGGGGGGGGGGGGTGCAAATCGAAAATTGAAAGTTTGTCCCCCGACCTCGCTACGCCACTGCCAAGACCTTTTGGATAAAGAAAATGTATCACTTGCTTGAAAACAGGTTCTGCTAAATAAATACCAACTGTGTCTTGTAATGTGTTGCCCATAAAACAAGTAAAACCATTGTGTTGTTTCCTTTGCAATGTAACTCTTCTTATCTTTTCCTTTGTTTAGTATTTATTGGGCTATTTCCCTTTGCCCCTATTTCTCTTGTTACCTAACTCAAATTACATACATTGAGCTAAACCGAGTATTGTAAATGTGTATAGGATTCTAAAATGTGTGTTTTATACTCAAAAGCGACATAAAGTGAATACTGTTTACACATTATTCGATTAACTTAGTATTTTGCATTTTTAAAAATGTGAAATAGTTACTTCTCAATTAATCTTATACTACATTTGCAGCACTTGTAGCATTTAAAACCGCTTCCAAAATGTAATAGTTTGCGCTAGTTGTTACCCATCGTCAGTATAATAATTCATCCTTTGTTTCTTAACATATATTGGTTACTTTTTTTAAATAGTTTTACCAGAGGCGTTGCGACCCTTCCCGACGCCAGGGGACAAACTTTCAATTTAGCGCCATCCCCCTCGGGGACACTTTCAAATTGGCGCCCACCCCCCATATATTTTTTTATATTTATAATGCAAAACTGCTCCTAATTTTTCAAATATAGATCGCAGCAAATTTTAATATAGATAGTAGCGACGTTTAGAATGTTTTTGGCTCCTGATGTTGATATGGATAGCAGAAAATTTCCAGACTTTTCTCTCCGGGGGGAAGGGGCTCTAAGCACTAAAAATTTGCGGAGGGGGGGGGGGGCGGCAGACAGTTTTAAAAGTATATATTTTCTATATAAATGCGGGGGGGGGGGGGTAGAATTCATTCGGGGGGGGGGGGGACTCGGTCCACCCTCCCCACCCACCCTCCCCGAAGTGAAGCCTGGAAGAAACTCAGTTTATGACTCCTAATGGTAAAATAGATGGTAGCAATGTTTAGAAAGTTTATCGCTTTTTACTTTTCGAATAGGGGTCGTCCATAAATGACGTCACACACGTAGGGGGAGGGGGGTCCGTAGTTTTGTGACGGTGTAAAATGAGGGGGAGGGGGGGTCAGATGGTGTGACGCCACTTTTTTTGCATTATAAAAAAGAAATGTTAGAAAACGAGTTTTAGCCCTTATTTCGCGTTTTAGAAAACGGTTTTAATAGTTGTAATAGGAATTGATCAAATTATCGATGTTTTAGAAAAATCTAACATCAATGTCGAGGGGGGTTGTAGGCTGATGTGTGACGTCATTTTAGGAGGGGTCTGGCTTTTTGTGGCGACGTGTGACGGAGGGGAGGGGGGAGGTAAAAATCGTCAAAAAAAGCGTGACGTCATTTATGGATGACGCCTTATAGGTAGCAGCAGATTTTTAAAATGTTTACGGTATCTAACCTCTAGTCAAACAAACGACAGATAATGTTAGGGTGCTCATTCATTATTTGTGATATAAATTAAAACTCATATTTTAGTGCGTTCATTGTTCTTAATTGTTGGTCATAGAGAAATAGAGTATACTAGCCGTCCCGGCCAGGCCCTGCTCTGGCTTCTGTGAAAAACCTTTCTGTTAAAGACCATTACCTGTGTGTTTAGTAATCATCATAAACCCGGCATTGCCCACCCAAACCACAACCAACCAAAACCAAAACAACAAAACGCAAACATAACGCTAACACAATTACAAATACAAACGAAAACAAAAACTTAACAACAAACACAACCACACCCACAAACACCAATACAAACACAAAGAAAAAACAAACAAAAAAGCAAACGAAAACAAAAACCTAACAACAAACCCAACCACAAACACCAATACCAACAAAAAAAAAATCAACGAAAAAAGCAAACGAAAACAAACCAAATCCAAACGCAAAACCAACCAAAAACACAAATACAAACCCAAACAAAAAAAAACACAAACAAAAACGAAAAAAGAAAGAACAAAAACGAACCAAATTAAAACGCAACCACTAACGCAAACCCACCTAAACACAAAGAAAACACTAACGCGAACATAAACGCCCGGGGCGGAATCACCTGTTTTAGCTTAATGAACGACTATAGTACCCCAACTTATTCACAGTCTTTTGCACTCACTTAAACGAACGCGCCTGTTTCAGTTTAATAAACAATTTTAATACTCCAAGCTTATCCGTAAAATACCTACAACATTTGCACTTGATCAATCCCCGCTAATTATGTAATTATTTTTTTTCCCAACACCAAAACAAAGTAATTAAAAAGTAAATTATTTTCACGGAATGCAATGGTTTTATAAAGGGAAGTAATTGTGTTTTTCCTAATTTATCAAAGGGAAGTAAGTGCTATAGGACTAAATAAAGACATAATTAGAATTTTTGTAAAAGATGATATTTTTTTTAAAACTTGTGTTTAATGAACATGCCGACAATTATTACTATAATTTGAAAAATGAAAATTATTTCCCAACACTTTCAATAGTAATTTTTTAGCTCATAAATTTAGACAAATGCGCACGATAATTTTCTAACACTTAAATTCGTACAATTCCAACGACATACAAATGCATTACATACAGAACTGAGCTTTATATATTAGATTTTAGGTTGATCATGACGTTGAAACTTGTGTAGTAGAAATAACATTACATTTTAGAATGCTCAAAATTTTTGTTATAGAGTAGGTTAATTTTAGAAAGCGCATGATTTCTACTTTTCTTTTACGGATAGCTTCAAATTTTAGCATGTGTATGGCTTTTAATTTTTGAATTATCTGTATTAGAAATTTCAGAATGTTTTCGCTTTAATTTTTATAATATATAAAGCAGCAAATTTTAGATTGTTTACAGCTCCTAATTTTATTAATATAAAAACCAGTACATTTTAGAATGTTTATGGCTTATTTTTGTAATATAGAAACCAGCAAATTTTAGTTTATTCTCATAACAATAAATGTTAGTTTATTTTTTTTTAAATTTATTTTGTTGTTATTGCCTAATGTTGTTTACTAAAGATAATTGAAAACTACTATATTGAGTGCTTTAGAACCACCAAAGAAAAATACTAGCGCGTGTTTGTTGATCACGTGATCCGTAAACGCAATGAAGCATAGGCGTAGCGATGGGGGGCAGGGGGATATATGTCCCCGGGCGCCGACATTAGGGGCGCCAAAATGGGTGGGAAAAGGTAATCGAAAGTTTGATGGGGGGGGTGCAAATCGAAAGTTTGAGGGGATGCAAATCGAAAGTTTGAGGGGGGAGGGTGCAAATCGTAAGTTTGAGAGGGGGGGGGCTGCAAATCAAAAGTTTGAGGGGTTGTGCAAATGAAAAGTTTGAGGAGGGGGAAGCAAATCGAAAGTTTGAGGGGGTGCAAATCGAAAGTTTGAGGGGGGGGGGGGTGAAAGTTTGTTCCCGGGTGCCGGAAGGGTCGCTGCCCATCTGCACGTGAGCAATAGGGCGATCCTTGGTGTAAAACACAACAGGATGCAAGTTAGCGCACACTTCAGCCAAAGTATCAAAATCTTATTCAACTAGGACAGGGGTCGGCAACCGTTTTGAGACGGAAGAGCCAAAAGTTACAATTTTCAAAATTTTCCAGTTTTTAAAGAGCCCATAACATTTTTTAAGATTTCAATATTTTATTATTTGATTTGGAATAGGTAAATAAATTTGATTTGTTATTTAAAAATAATTAGCTTTGAATGTGAAATAATTTTTTTCATATAAAAACATACACTTATTTCGCCAGAATAATGAAATTAGTAATCAAAAAATAAAAATATAGAACTATCTCAATCCCCTTTAGAAGCTGTAAGCTTTTTTTTCTTTCTTTACGGACATCACCGGCTCAGGAGGTGTCTCCCATTAGCCAGTCAGGCCTCAACACGGCAGACTCCGACTAACTGGCTTGGGTATCGGTTTGATTATCATTTACCGGTCGCTTCTGTCCTTAGGTTCTCACCAGGCTGATCTTTCAACCCAATGAACGCAGGGTAAACTCGTCCTCCACCGTCCAGTACCCGGCTCGACAGTAGGAAACTAATAACTTTTAAAAATGACGTCACTCAGGTCAAATTAAAATGATATAGGTAAATGCATTCTGAATAAAATAATATTCCCCATTCAACGATATTCGAAAAAGTCGGCACTTGGGGAGTGGCAAGAATGGAATGGTTGCCACGGTGCTAGTCACAGCAAGGGTGTGGGGCTGGACCTGGTGCCCAAGCGGCTGTCAGCTGTCCGTATACTTTCCACTGCACATATTCGCACTGTTCTCTGATGAGTTTTATTCTTCTGTTTAAACTTGCGTTTCTTTACATTATAATTTTTGTTATGAGTTTTGAAAATAAAATAATATAACTATTAATATTTGTGCAAGGAGCTGGAGTGCCGCATCTTGTCATCAAAAGAGCCGCATGCGGCTCGCGAGCCACAGGTTGCCGACCCCTGAACTAGGGCCTATGTGCTGACGTGTCGACCGTTTAACCG